TATATATATATATTACTGCCCTCCATGAGCGACTGGCAGTTCAACTGAACCAGCTGCTACAGAATGGGACTCACCCTGAATGGTTAACTGAAGGGCGCACAATCCTGATCCAGAAGGATCCCTCAAAGGGTTCAGTCCCATCCAACTATCGGCCGATAACCTGTCTCTCTACAACATGGAAGCTCATGTCAGGCATCATAGCGGCTAAGATAAGCGGACACATGGATAAATACATGAGCACGGCACAGAAGGGCATCGGCATAAATAGTAGAGGAGCCAAACACCAACTCCTTGTAGATGAGTAACCTTGATAAAAAGGCCTGCCGGTGAAAGTTGGAGAGTTTTGTTGGGAGTTTCGTTATATCAAAATTACAAACTAAAAAGAGATTCAGACCACCAAATTTAGAAAAAATATGGGAAGGTATAAAATTCCAGAAAGACACTGGAGAATTAAAAAATTGACGGATCCAATTTATTTTAAAGGTATTAGTCAAAATAGAGAAAGATAAACAATTAAGTCCTCCATGTTCATATGAATTGATTAGAGTAGATTTTTTAGTATAGTGAGTCTTATTCTTCCACACAAAATTAAATAACAGTTTGTCAATTTCTTTCTCACTTTTATTGAGCGTCTATTCTTATATTATGTCTATGGTTGAACCAATTTCACGTCATTTACCCAGAATGCATTGCAGTGAGAACAACATGCTCACGTTCATGTGACAATATTCTAAAATTTATAAAACCTAAATAACTTACAGTATTATTACTATATTGTTTTTACATCTAAAATAAATATTTGCCAAATAAAGTTGATTGCTACAAATAATGGCGGATCCTTTTAACAGCATCAGTGTTGCACTACTGCCATCTCTTGGATTTTACTACTCCGAACCGCTCCTCAAATTCTTCTCAAATCATTATTTTTCAAAAAACGAAATATTCCTTTCTTTCCTTTCCCCTATTCACCTGACCAACGGCTATTTTCAAATATCAGTTCCTTATTAAAACTTTCCATATTCAATAATCTTCATATATTTCCTGCAATTAATAAAACCATGTTCCATCATGTCTGCAGTATTATACCAATTACATAAACCAGTTCCCTAACCCTAACCAGCAAAATGTCCTTTTTAATACGTTTTTAAAAACTAACTAAATTCGAATTATTTTTGCTTTCTTAATCTTCCTGTGGTATATTTATTAAATTAATTGTTTTGGGGTTTTTTCACATTCTCACATGTTTCAAGTTCCGCCAGTTGGAGGTGGAACTTAAAACGTGTTGTCTGTTTCTGAGGTAGATCTACATGTGATACTTCCGGCGGAAGTAAACAACATGGCGCTAGCAGCGCTAGCTTCCAGACTGCCTCTTGACTAACGAAGTTAAGAAGGCGATTTCTGCGTGAGCTGCGTGTTTCACTGTCTTCAATAACAATATATTCTTCATCAGAGAGAAATTAATCAGAGACAGACGAACTGCTGCTGGAGAAATATCCAACAAATCTGAGGAAGAGATCAATCATCAGCTCAAACTGCTGGATACCGGCTGGAAAACCCAAATCGTCTCCGAACCTCCGGGTTGTGTTTTCTGATCCAGGCTTTGTTGAGGCTTCGACACGTTGCTGAGGTTAGCTATTAAACTACATAGACAGCTGAGAGATGGGATTATTTACTAAGACTGTATGCTTCTCTTTGGCCTTAAGTTTTAGATACTCTATGAAAATATTGCCATAATAATAATAGTAGTAATAATAATAATAATAATCAGAGATCCAAATATAGATATGTTGTTTTTGCTACAGCGCCCCCTGCTGCTTGGGGATCAGAACAGACGACATCAGTGAGATGACAACTATTTATCAATGTCTGTTTAAATGTGCATCGTGTTGGAATCACAGTTTCTTCTGTGCAACATGGATATGATTCCGAAATCTCCAAAAGACTTTGAAGGCAGGTTTTCATCCAGTTAACTGGTTAAGAGAAAACAACCTGCTGAGTAACGTTCACGTTTCAGTAAAACAGAAAGAAGTCCAGCAGGTTTCATTAGGTTGTAGTAAATGTAAAATAGAAAAAGACCTTTTAACCTCAACTTCATTTAAAATAAAGTGGCTGAATATTAACAGTTTTAGATCACATCACTGTTGGATCATAACAGTTCTTTAACAGAACTGTAACTAAATAATATTAGTTTGTGGATTTCATTCTTTTTTTCATTTAAATTTAATTTTCATTACAGTTAATCATAAAATATTACTTAAGCAATAAAACACTACGGTATAAGAGAAGTAGATCTACCTTCAGTCATAATTTTTGGACATTGTTTGTGGTGTCCCCCAAGGGTCAATATTGGGACCAAATTGGTTTCTGTTGTCCATATAAATTAGCATAAATATAAACTGTTATGGAATTTTCCCACAGGTTTGAGTATTCGATTAAATTAATTTCAGTGGTTATCAGAAATGCACAGAAGGTAGTGTTATAGTAAATAGTGTCATTTGTTCAGAAGCAGATGAAGAAATGTATTGGTCTGAAATAGATCCAGAGTGTGAAGGGAAAAGTGTGTAGGTCTGCAGATTTTATGTGCAAAACCAAGTAAGTCATAAATAGCAGTTAAGATTACATTTAGTCTATAACTTTCAGTGTCAGCATGATTGTTAAAATCCCCCACTGTAATTATCTTATTAATATTTAACACAATCAGAAAAATCAAATAACTGAGAGTGGTGGACAGTACAACAAACAACAAACATGAGCGGTTGTGTTTTTCCCTTTTTTCAGATTTGCCACAAAATTATGTCTATTATTAAGCCAGATGTTTTTGCTCTGCATTTTATCCTCAACTAACAAGAGATTTCTGTTCTTGACCAGAAGGGAACCAAATCTCCAAAACCCAAAAGAGGAGAGGAAGAGGAACCAGAACTTCTACAAGTAAAAGAAGAAGAGTATGAATCAGAACCTCAGCAGTTTTTAAAGAAAGAAGAAATGGAAACTTCAATTCAAACAGATTCTGGATCTTTTGAAATAAAAGGAGAACCAGTAGAACTACAACTGAAACAAAGGAAGGAAGATGATGGTCAGTCAGAAGCTCAGCAGATGGTAAAGGTTGAGGTAGAAGACCAGGACGTACTACAGCAGAAGACGGATACAGTAAAAAGAACTGATTCTAAATCTCCAGAACTCAAAGAGGAGCCAGCTGAACTAGAACCTAACCAAGTGAAGGCAGAGGATCACGGATCAGGACCTGAGCTGATGGTAGAGAAAGAGGCTGAAGGCATCAGTCAGGATGAAAACCAGGAAGTACTGAAGCAAAACGTTGATACCGTAATCCTAAAGTTTTCTGATGATAAAACAGAACACCACCAACTTGAAATCAGTGAAAACAAAATCCTGATTCAGAACTTCCCAAAAACAAAATATCAAAATATAAAGACCAAGGCATCAGATTCCAGCAAAGATGATCAGCAGCAGAAGAGAGCTCAGAAAAATGGAGGACAAAGTGACGATGTAGAGAGAGGAATGAAAGGCCGGAAAATACACAAAGGTAAATTGTCCAAGCAGTGCAAAGTGTGCGGGAAAATTTTCAAATGTATCAACGATTTAACTATTCACAAAAGAATTCATGCAGCTGAGAAGCTTTTCTCATGTGTAACTTGTGGAAAAGGTTTCAACCAAAAAGGTAATATGATTAGTCACATGAGAACTCACTCAGGTGAGAGACCTTTCTCATGTGAAACATGTGGAAAATGTTTCAATCAAAAAGGTAGTTTGAGTAGCCACATGATAATTCACAAAGCAGAGAAGCCTTTCTTGTGTATAACCTGTGGGAAAGGTTTCAATCAAAGGAGTCATTTGACAAGCCACATGAGAACTCATACAGGTGAGAAACCTTTCTCATGTGAAACCTGTGGAAAAGGTTTTATTGAAAAAACTAATCTGCTTAAGC